TTATTGGTTTTGAGTTTTGCTATAAGCACAGCGTATCAAAAAGGAAAGCCGTTTGCGTTCTGATTATAAGTCCGACGACGGGATTATATCCTTGTCAGTGGATTGTAGCTGTTGTATACCCGTGTCCTGCGAACACCCCGCCGCCGCGACCTGAACAGAGGATGGCCCTGGCCCTCCCGCCCGCACATGGACCCGCCAGCCCGCATGAGCACCAACAATAAGCGAATCAGCTCGCTTAGCTCAGTTGGTTAGAGCGTCGTACTAATAATGCGAAGGTCGCCAGTTCGACCCTGGTAGTGAGCATTATAAGGTCTCAGCGATCCGGTTCAAGCTCCGGAAGAAGACAATCTTTTTGGCTTTTTTTTTTTTTGTCTATTTTGTATACTTTCTCAGAAATAAACCCCCTTCTTTTACCATCCTCCCCAAAATCCAATCCATAAATACCCCTTGGTGGTTACAGTGCTCCTAATTTTCATTGCTGTCGGTTCTTATCTATTCTCAAGATCCCGCCGAAATCGCTTCACTCTAATTTTTCTATACGTCGTCTATATAAAGGTGCCCCCGACGCCTTTAACCAGTGTCTGTGCATGCAGCAAAAATTGGCCAAGACGCCACGCAAAAAGTCCAGGAGATAAAACCCAAGCGCTCGCGGGATTTCTTTTGTTCAGATGCTGGGCTTGGCCGCCGCGGCCTCGGCCTCGGCGTCCTCCATCTCCGACAGGAACTTCTCGGCCTCCATAGCGGCCATGCAGCCCGAGCCGGCGCTGGTGATGGCCTGCCTGTACCTCTTGTCCTGGACGTCGCCGGCGGCGAAGACGCCCTCGACGCTCGTCAGCGGGGTGCCCGGGGTGGTCTTGATGTAGCCGTCCTCGTCCACCTCGAGCTGGCCCTTGACGAGCTGCGTGGCCGGGTCGTGGCCGACGGCGTAGAAGAGCCCGCTGGCCTCGAGCGTCTCGAGCGCGCCCGTGACCACGTTCTTGACGACGAGGTGCGTCATGAGCCCCCTTGCGCCCTCGCCGCCCTTGACCTCGACGCCCGTGGTGTTGAAGCGCACCGTGACTTTGGGGTGGGCCAGCAGGCGCTTGGCCATGATGCTGCTCGCGCGCAGCTTGTCGCGGCGCACCAGGACCGTGACGTGGCTGCCGTACTTTGTCAGGAACATGGCCTCCTCGGCGGCCGAGTCGCCGCCGCCGATGACGACGAGGGGCCGGTCGCGGAAGATGGGCACGGCGCCGTCGCACACGGCGCAGGCCGAGATGCCGTTCTGCCAGTACTGGTCCTCGCCCGGCAGCCCGAGCCGGCGCGCCGAGGCGCCCGTCGCCAACACGACCGCGTCGGCCGTGTGCTCCTCGTCGGGCGACCACTCGGTCGCGTACCTGAAGGGCCGCGCCGACAGGTCCAGCCTGGCGACCGTCTCGGAGACGATGGTGGTCTCGAACCGAACCGACTGCGCGCGCATGGCGTCCATGAGGCCCTGGCCCGAGATGCCGTCGGGGAAGCCGGGGAAGTTCTCGACGTCGGTCGTGGTCGTCAGCTGGCCGCCTGCCGCGGTGCCGTTGGCCATGAAGCCCTCGTACATGACGGCTGTTTTTTTTTTTGTTTATGTGGGTGCGGTTAGCGTTCCGTATGCGTCGCACGTCTCGGGTGCAGGTCGAGGCTCACGCTTCAGGTTCGCTCGTGCCAGGTAGATGGCGGCCGTGTGGGCGGCGGGCCCGGAGCCGATGACTGTCGCGGGAGGAAGGCGGTGGCGTTAGCTACAGGTTGTCACGGCGGGTAGCGCTGCGGAAGAGGACAGAAAGAACATGACGTACTGACTACCTTGCTGTGCATGGTTCGTTTCGTGGCGGCGCCTATGCTGGACTGGATATCACTCGGACGGACGGGCTGCTGCTTGTTGAGCCCGGCAGCGGCGATGGCGGCGGAGAAACCGGGGCCGCTGGACCGAAGGGTACGTCGGAAGGTCGAGGAGAACAGCTTGGCGGTTTGGTTTGGGGGTGGTCAAGTGCCTTGTTTTGTTGGCCGTCGCCCTGGCTAAAGCTTAGAGAGGTCTTGGTACGGTACGTAGGTGGTATTTATCTTGTAGCCCGGTTTTGTTTTGTCAGCGAGGGGTGGGTATTCGAGACTCGACCTTCGCCGGCCGGCTTCGGGGCGAACCAACATGCGAAATTCGCCGGTCTGGACCCCGCCACCTTTTCGAGACAGCCTCGCCCCGCTTCCTGCACCTTGCGCAGGTACCAAGGCTAATAATCCCAGTGGCAATCGCCGGCTTTGGAATCAAATCCCAGCAGACGTAACTCAAATCTTGGGCAATGACAAAACCTCCGACGGCAGCTGCGTATGTCGCTTGTCTGCCCAGAGTTGGGCCATCCATCACAATGTCACTCTCAAACTGTTTCTCGAGGCATCGCCTCTGACAATTCGTTGCGAGCTTTGCACCCATCCCCAGGCCCGGGCAAGACAACCTCTTTCAAAGCAGACACGCCCCAGTCGAGCATCGGTTTCCTCATTTGTGTTAGTGGGAGGGCTTTGAGAAACAGCACCAGCCTCCAAGTGCCGCCTGCTGATCGCCTGTCTAGGCATTGCTGCCCATCCAACTCGACGGCTTTGCCAATCATGAACCACAGACAGCTCAACCCGCTGCAAGTGGCTGCATGTCCACAAGCCACCTCCCAAGGAGTGGTAGCCTCACCATGGGAGAGAGGGGGGATGCAGCGAGGGGGTTTCAGCTCGCTCCCACCCTCCATGGCCAGGTTTTTTTCTCCTTGTTCTTGTCTTCTATGTACCATCCAGGCATCAGCTGTCCTCGAATACCGCCTCTGCCCTCTTGATATCAGGCCAACCACCCGGGCCGACCATCGTCAACAGTTTTAGTTTTAGCTGCCATCACCCACTGCATCTGTCGCTCCGGCCACTCGCTTCCTGCTGCCTTCTGCAGTTGTCTCGTTGCACTTGATCTACTCGCATTCGGCTGCATCTTGTCGTTGTTGCCGCCCCTTCTCACACCAAGTTTTGTATCTACGCCTCCGATTCCTCCTCGATACTCCTTCCAACATGTCGGATTCCATTCCAAACACCGAGTATACAATCGGGTGGATTGCTGCCCTCTCCACCGAGCTGCTTGCAGCCTCGCAATTCCTTGACAAGAGGCACAATAAGCCGACATCCCGCCATCCGAATGATACCAACAACTACACCCTTGGCAGCATCGGGCCGCACAATGTTGTTATGGCCTGCCTGCCCATGGGCAATATAGGCACAGCATCGGCGGCCGTCGTGGCCACAAATCTGATCAATAGCTTCCCCAACGTCCGTCTCGGACTTATGGTGGGCATCGGAGGGGGTGCACCAAGACTCCCCAACCACGACATACGCCTTGGCGACGTTGTTGTCAGCAGTCCAGGAAACGGCAATGGCGGTGTGCTTCAGTACGATTTCGGCAAAACTGTCCAGGAGAAGGAGTTTCAACTTACGGGGTCCCTGAACCAGCCGCCTTTGACACTTTTGGCTGCCCTCAGCGGCCTGCAAGTACAGCATGAAGAGTACGGCCATCAGTTCCAGGAAAAATTGAACCAGATACTGGAAGGCAACCCACGCTTGCGCCGAAAGTACTCTCGTCCGTCCCGGGAGAGCGACAGGCTGTATCGTTCGAAATATGTGCACACCGACCCCGAAGGGTTGGCTCCAGGTTCGCCAGAGCAACCGAGCTACGGTGAATCGGAGAAGCCCTGCGGAGAGATTTGTGGTGAGGACCCAAGCCACCTGGTCCCAAGAGTTGAGCGAGGCGATGACGAGGACGACCCTGCGATCCACTATGGTCTGATTGCGAGCGCAAACCGGCTGATGGAGGATGCACTTGTCCGAGACCACCTGGCCAAGCAGGGTGTCCTCTGCTTCGAAATGGAGGCAGCTGGTCTGATGAATACTTTTCCATGCCTGGTGATTCGGGGCATTTGTGATTATTCGGATTCGCACAAGAATTACGAGTGGCAAGGTTATGCGGCCATGATGGCGGCAGCTTATGCAAAAGATCTTTTGCAGCACATCATACCCAGCCAGGTTGCTGCAGAGAAGAGCATCAAGGAGGCGGTGTCGGAGTTAGGTGTGTAGTAACATTTCCTCCAGCTAAGCCCATAGGACAAACTCACTGCTCGCTTTCACTTCATGTCCTTACTCCTGTCACACGTCACTTGTCCTTTTCCACGCTGACAGCCTCAACGAGTGGGGGAGTAGAGCAGAAGGTCGATAGTTTGCACCATGCCACACTCTCTGTTCACACAAAGCTCGAAGCCGGCGACGTCAAGGCCCGCATCAAACAAATGCAAGATTGGCTTAGCCCTGCCGATGCCTCCACAAACGCCAACCGCGCAGACAAGCTTCACCATCCCGGCACATGCACATGGCTTCTGGAGGGTCGGGCCTTCCGAGAGGTTTGTTCCGGGTCTCGTCGGCAGCTATGGCTGCACGCACTTGCTGGCTGCGGTAAAACGGTTCTTTGCGCTGCGGTCCTGGAACACCTAACCGACACCGCCGGCGATGGTCGTCTTATCCTCAAGTTCTTTTTCGACTTCCGTGACACCAAAAAGCAAACCTTGGATGCCATGCTGCGCTCGCTGGTCTTCCAGTCGTATCGATGGCAGCTTACCTCCATTGGACACTGTGCCGCCACGGTACCCGCCTCCGGGGACCAGCCAACAGAGAAGCAGCTGCAGGAAACATTTTGTAGGATGCTCGTCGCCCAAAAGGAGGTTTTTATCATCTTGGATGCCCTGGACGAGTCGACCACGGGGAAGGGAATGCTTTTGAGTTGGATCAAAGATATGAGGGTTCGAACAGAGCTGCAGCACGTCCGCCTGATTTTCACCAGCCGACCAGAACCAGAGTTCGAGCAGAGCATGCCGAATTTGATCGGGAAGGAGAACTGTGTACCACTGGACAAGAGAAAGGTCAACGCCGATATCCGCTCTTACATTGCGGCCAAGCTCACGGGCCCGACTGACTTCGTCATTGGGCGCATCCCCGAGCACCTTGTGGATTCGATCACCAGAGAGGTCGGAGACAGGGCAGACGGCATGTGAGTTATGCGCTTCCAACCACAAAGCTGATCTCTGCCTCGTATCTAACGCACCGCGCAGGTTCAGATGGGCGGAATGCCAGCTGGAAGAGCTCGCCGAATGCGTCAGTCTGCAAGCTATCAAGGATGCTCTCCGAAATCTGCCAAAAGCTGGCGATCTCAAAGAGACATATGACCGCATGATGGCCAAAATTCCGAACAACATTATGGGAGATGCGACCCGACTGCTTCAGTTTCTTGTACATGCTGAAGAACCCCTGACCGTGACTCAAGCCATGGAGGTCATAGCTACACAAGTCGATCCCCCTCGCTGTTTCGACCCTGAACGAAAGCCATTAGACCTACCCAGGCTTCTTAAGCATTGCCCTGGACTAATTCGCATGGATGGCCGGGCTCTGTATCATGGAAGCCTTAGTCTTGCGCACTTTTCTGTTAAGGAATACCTACTCGAGCGAGCTGGCTTCACCAATGTGGTGGCGAGCAGGTCCATCACGTGGGCCTGCTTGGTTCATCTCCCATTTTCTATTCGACCAAGGCCCAAGCGTTGGGAAGCAAACCTTGGGCTATATGCCTGGAAATACTGGATGCGCCATGCTGCGGTCGCTATGGCGCAGGACGAAGCGGACGATATCGTTGAGCATGTTGCCGTTTTTTTTGGCGCCCCCCTAAACCAACAGTCCTCGGTGGGCTCGGATCGCATCGATCGCAGGCCTCTACTGAGTCTAGCTTATGCATGGGGATTCGACAAAATCGTCCAGCGTCTTCTGCCAAGTGACCTCCGAGACATGGCGGAAGATAAGGGGCTGGTTTTTGCGATGAACTGCAGGCAATCAGTCGTATCTGGATTCAATGTGAAAGACAGCGAGTGGAAATGGACCGTTAGACAAACGTGGGACTTTCCGCTTTGTGTGGCTTCATCCAATGGCCACATTGGACTGGTGCAGCTTCTACTCAATGCGGGTGCCGATGTTGACGGAGGGGGCGACGACACAGAGCCCCTGATGGCTGCGTCAGAAAGGGGCCATGGCGCCATTGTCAAGGTACTGCTGGACAACGGAGCCAAAATCAATGCATGGGATCAACTTCATAACACCGCGCTTACGATGGCATCGGAAAAAGGACATCTAGGCATTGTGCAACAATTGCTTGATGCTGGAGCCGAAGTCAACCCGCAGGTTGAGGGCATCCGCACCGCTCTTATAATGGCGTCACGATGGGGCCACCTAGACGTTACGCAAAAACTGCTTGATGCGGGCGCCAAAATCAACGCAGTTGACACCGAGTTCGGCGCCGCCCTTACGACGGCATTGCAATACGGCCACCTGAACGTCGCACGCCACCTGCTCGATCAAGGGGCCAAAGTCAACGTGCAAGGGGGTACCCACGGAAGCCCCCTTATTGCTGCCGTCGCAAACGGCCACCTGGACATCGCGCGCCACCTGCTCGACCTAGGAGCCAAAGTCGATGTGCAAGGAGGTACCTACGGAAGCCCCCTTATTGCTGCTGCCGTAAACTGCCATTGGGATGCCGTACGACTGCTTCTAGATAAGGGAGCAGACGTCAATGCATCGTGTCAAAAACATGGGACTGCACTCAACGTTGCGGCGCAAAAAGGTGACCTTGAAATTTCGCGACTGCTCTTGGACTACGGGGCGGGCATGATGGCAAGCCAGGCTGGTTTCGCAGCCCTTCTCAATTCTGCGTCAAAGAGGGACGGTGCATACATGGTCCAGAAGATTCTCGACAATGGGGTTGATGTCAACACACCATAGCAAAACGACAGCCCTCTTGAAATAGCAGCAGGCAATAACAACCTAACAGTTCTCAAGGTGCTCTTGGATAACAGGGCAGGTGCCAATTGGGGCTGCGCGCTGCGGCTAGCTGTTATGTATGGCTACGTGGAAGCGGTGCGTATGCTGCTGGATGCAGGGGCCGACCTATACGAACATAAGGGGTACTATCGCCCGACCTTCCTCGATATTGCTGAAAGGAAGGGGTTTGAACAGATTGCACAATTGTTGCGTGCCAAGGGGGTGCTCAGGTGTAGCGAGCTGAAGGAGGCTGCGCTGCCGAGATAGTATGGAGTTTAGGAGTACAACTTTTTGCAGTTTCTTTCATCCTCTGCTTTTGACATGTAGTTGAATCATTGCTTTGTTCCACCCATATTCCCTAGGTAGGTTGGCGGGCTTCCCCAGTAGTACGCAGATGCTAATACACACGGTACATTAAAACGTTGCGCATGCCACATCTGATTTACTGCAAGGCAAGCATATGAGCCGTCCTTACCTCCTTCCTCTGGGGACAAGAACGGGTAGCTGAAGGTCCTGTGAGTGTCTAGCATATACCTCCAAAGCCCGCCAACAGCCCCAGTCACCTCTGCCCATCACTGCTGGCGGCCATCTCGGTCGCCGCGGGCTCCTTGGCCGGCAGCTCGGCCAGCCGGGGAGGCTGAACGCCCGCGAGCTCGCCGGGCGGCTGCCAGGCGTCCATCTCCTGCACGTCCACCCTCGGCAGGTGGTCCGAGTGCAGCTGCGGCTTGTCCTCGATGTCGCCGCCGCCGCCGCCCTCTGGCCTGTCCTTCTTCCTCTTTCTTATCCTCCTCCTCCGTCGGTAAAACACGGCGACGCCAACGGCGAGAATGGCGACAGCGGCGGCGCCGGCGGGCGCGGCCATTACGGCGTCGGCCAAAACATCGAAGCCTGCGAAGGATCAGCGGGGAGTCGTGATGTCAGGCCTCGCGCTGCCACGTAGGGTGGGTGTAGGAAGAGGGAGCGGGATCGTGGGGGCATGTCTGGACAAGGCTCGGAAATGTCTTACTTTCTTCTTTCGACAGGGATTTCGACTCCCCCGTGGAGGGTCCCAGGTCTACCGCCTTTGCCACAGCTGTCCAGCCTGTGGCGTTGAGATTGGCTGCGCGTGTCACGGCGGGAAGGCCAGTGGCGGTGGAGACAGGCCGCCTTTTGGACAGGCCGAGAGCAAGTTGACGTGCCGGGCCGGTGGAGGGGGCAAAGGCATCTGTTTTGGTGCAGTAGACGACGTACGGCACAAGCCCGTCCGCTGGATGGCCCCTGGCAAGGCTGTTGGTGGCATAGTCTAGTGTGTCGTCGAGGCAGGCGAGACAATCTGCGAGATGCCGCGTGTACGGGCTCGGCTTGATGCACAGTCCAGGGGACTTTCCTATCCGTTCGGCCTCTTGTAATGCATTTCCTGTATTTCCGTCGGCAGTCCTGTCAGTTAATCCTAGGGTTGCAGCGCTATACGTTTTGAGGTTCCAAAAAACGAACATAATCCCCACACTTACCACAGGGATGCAAACACGCCGCTGCAATGGGCTTGGAGTTTTTCCTTTCCAAAGTGGTAGAGCCTGTGCTAGACATAATGGCACTTCCCAGCACACGTCACCAAGAAAGATGTTGGAGCAATAAGGGGGTAGAAGGAGCAGGCCAAGGACGAGAATGCCAGGACAAGAGCCAAGGACAGCCACGAGGATATATTAGGAAAATCCCCACTGGCAGTCACATCTTGTAGTTCCCTCTCTTCCTTCACCGGATACCTGCCGTTGCAACGTCACCATTCCGCGTGATGCTCGCAGATTTCATTGGTATCAATCAATATGGCGGACCATCACATTACCAGATGCTTCATCTGTCCTACTGGAAGCCGCCGCACATTTCCATTCTATGGCTAAGGCTGGCTTCCTCCCAAAAGTGCCATGCATGATAAATTGCAGACAGTGCCTGGGGGCCGGACGGATAAGCGAGGTTGCTCTTGCCATTGGGCCAGGCCTTTGCTCCTTCTGGCCCCACGACACCCTCCCCGCGAACCGCCGGCGGCTGCAACCGCGCCCGGCTTGAGTGCCTGCCACGCCGTGGGGAAAAAATAAGCAATGCGGCAGGTGGTACAGAGGCCTGGGCGAGGCTCTGCCGGCCCGTCGCCTTGCATTCCCATTCCATGACGGCTTTCCGGGTCGGGGTGATTTCATTGGGGGCTGTGCATGCACAACACGAAACCGGTATGATGACAGGGCTGTGAAAAATACGGATATCACGTCAAACACGATCGTTTCCTTGATTCGGAAAAAGGGGATGGCAGGGACATGCTGCTGACCCTCGCATAACAGCTCCAAAAGCGTCGACTGATCTCCCACGATGGGGCTGTTCTGAATGTACCGTTGAGGCACATCTTATCAACTATCCTATCAGTTTGGGGCCTACGTTGTATGTTGTTCTGATTTGCCAGCTAGGACGTCCTGATCAAAGTTGGGGGGTATCGTACTATGTCCATCCCTCACTCGTGCCGTTGCGATTCGCCGCTTCATAGCCTTGCACCCCCTCGGCCGGTGGGCAGCTCCGCCAGTTGAGGAAGGTGGATTCCCGCAAGCTCCCCGGGCGGCCGCCAGGAGTCCATCTCCTGGACGGCCTGCAGATGATCCGAGTGTAGCTGTGGCTTCTCGTGGTCTTGGCCGACGGTCGGCTTATCGCTCCTTCTTCGGCGTCGATACAGGCTAACGGCGCCAACTGCAAGGAGGATGAGGGCGGCCGTGCCAGCGACGGAGCCCGCGATGGCGGCGGCCAGAGTGCCTGATGCAGGTACTGACGAGAAAAAAAGAAGGAGCAAAGACGTTAGTCCATGTGGGGGCTTATCGACCCGAGCATTGACGAATATAGAGAGGCGGCCAGACCACCTCTCAAAGTCTCTTACCTCCGTTTGTGTCGGGGTTCGATGCCGCCGCAGGAGTTGTTGGTCCCGCTGGCTGTCCCGGCGTCGACCCGGCTGTTGTGCCCGGAGGAGGCGATGGACTGCTCCGAGCCCCGCTGGTACTGATGGCAGACGTGCTGGTGCTGCTTGTGCTGGTGCGCGGGGTGATGTTGCTTGTGCTGGTAGGTGAGCTGGTATTTCTTGTGCTGATGGGTGAGCCGATGCCTCTTGCGGTAGTAGGCGAGGCGACATTGCTTGTGCTGTGCCCGGTGGTCTGGCTGGTGAGGGATGGAGCCTGGCTTCTGGCCGCAGAAAGCGAACTCCGTAGACCACCTGCGGTCGCCGACGCGGGACGGTTTAATCTGAGGCCGGCCATGAATTCGCCCAGGAACTTTGTCTGCTCGCAGCAGAGAAAGAAGCCTTCGAGATCCTGCGGCAAAATCATGCGAAGAATACTGGGTGAGGTGCCGGGCTGTTCGTCGACGCAGCCGACGCATTGGTCTACATCGAGCATGAATTTGCCCGGGTCGGCGCAGAGCTCGGGAGTGTCTCCCAGCTTCTGGGCCTCCTTCAGCGCCTCGTCTAGATATCCACCACAGGCGATGTCAGCATCTCAGAGGATGTATCTTCCAGTCGACTCGGAAGGGGCGGGACCATCCAAGTGAGTGCCTACCACAAAAGGGACATGACTTCACCCCGGGATACTGCCGAGGCGCTTTTGCGACGAACACAGGAGAGTGGCGTCGTAACATTGCAGCTCTTGTAGCTTGCTGCCAGACGGAATAGATGGAAAAGACTAATAGACGAAGGAGGAGACAAGAGATGGCAGCCAAGATGGGAACCAAAGAGAAGCGGACGCGCGAAAGACTTAATAGATATCCCGCCGGGCCCTCAGCCGACGACCTCCAGGTGCCAGTTGCTGCGCCGGTTTCATCGCGACTGCAGTGTGGTTGCATTGCGCTTTGCTGCAAATTGCGAAATGTTATGGGATCGTCGCGAGGCTGTGTGTATATTGAGGGAGATATGCGCAGGACTGCTGGGGGCCGAGATTCTGAAGTGTGGGTGTGAGATGCACAGCCACAGAATCAAGAGAGGGAAAAGAGAAGGACAACACCACCCACAACAGCAAAGAGTTACCTATGTAGGTACAGCCTTACAAAGCTTGGGGGCACAGTGGAGGGATAACCTGCTTTCCGGCATCCCGCCTCAAGTGCAATTATGTAGGTTATCTCCAACAAGGAACAGCATCGGGGTGGGAAAAAAGCTACTCCCTCCCATCACCGCCGCCGCGGTGAGCCTCCCCATCCCCTCCCACCGCGTCGGCCGGGAGCTCCGCCACCGGCCCGACGTGCGCCTGCCGCTCTCCCAGCGGCGCAGCCCCCATCTCCAGGGGCAAGAACCCGGCCTGCAGCTCGCTCACGGGGCGCGGCGAGGCCTTGGCCTCCATCTCGGTGGGGGCGTGGCCGTCGTCGACGAGCCCGAGGAGGAGGTGGGCCGAGTGCAGCTGCGGGTCGTCGCCGCCGCCGCCGGCTGGGCCCGGCCTGGTCGCCGCCCTTGTCGCCCTTGTCGCGCCGGTACAAGACGAGCCCCGAGGCCGCGGCGAGGACGGCGAGGAGCGCGCCGACGGCCGCGCCCGCTATCAGCCCGGCCGAGGGCTTGCTCTCTTCGGGCACTGGGGGGGTTTTTGTCGAAAGGGTGTGGGGGGTTAGCTTGTGTATGTGTATGTGTCGCAAAGGCGCGTTGTGCTCGGCACCGCGAAGCGCCAAAAAAGAGAAAGAGTAGGCCTGGCCTGTGCCATGCTTCTCTTTCGTGTTTTTCTTTTCTTTTCTAGTTACCTGGTGTACTCCCTGTCGGCGAGGCAGGCGACGTCGCCGTCAAGGTGAGCCAAGCAGTAACGGTAATGCTTCCCCTCTTGGTCGCATCCCGACTTCCGACGAGGCTTACTATTGTTGTCGACTCTGGCGGTATGGTTCTCATGAGAATATTCCTCGAGGCGGAGCTCTGCCCGCACCACCACAAGCTATAGCCGTTGATGGCGGGGTCGACGTATGTGTACTTGACACAGTTCGTGTGGGAGGCCTCGTTACGGGGTACAAGGGGAAAAGAATCGTCGTGTTGGGGGCATTGCTTTAGTCTCTTGTCCGTCTGCTCCCAAATGCACACCGAGGACGCCGCCCTGAATATACCAGACTACAGTACCCCTGCCGATCGCGGTGTATCAAGTGGTTGAAGCAAGAGGCAGGCACCGCGTCTACGGGTAGCATGATGTCGTCGATATGTCCGGGCAACAGTCGACCGCGTTGAAGTCCGACCGGACTCTCATGTGAGAGGCGCGCAAGCACGTCCGAGATTCGGCTGCGGGTTGTCACCCTGTTAGCAAGCCGGGTCAACTCATGGCAAGAGCGAGAAAGGACGAGGGTGGACAGACTGGCTATTCCTGATATATAACCAAGTGTTTGGTCATCAATATCCCTGGGGTGTAAAAGCCCTTGAGAGGCGAGGGTCGGGGTTGGCACCAGCGAGCTGTCGTCGAGGGGACGCGAGTTTGTGGCCGTCTGCCTGACCGGCCGCCAGCTTGGCTCGCCCGCGCCGTCGTGCCATCGGAGCGCCTTTGCACGAGCGGCAAATAGGCTCATCCACGCCATAGCATCAAATGATAGCTTACGAGTTTGGACATTCTGTAGGCTCATACAGCAAACGATGCTATTAATTCATCGACATACTAGTACATGAACGGGATGACTCAAGATCTTGTGACAATAAACAAAAAAGGCTTCATCAACTTTCCAAGAACAGATCCAAGCTGCCCACCAATGGGCTTTTCCAACTTTTGTATGCTGGCAACGCGCTCCTTTGGGCAAGTAATCCAAGGGCAAGTCCACCCATCAGATCAGCTCGGCCGCGGCGCCGCCAATGGCCAGCTTGCCCGTCTCCTTAACCTTGGTCTGGAACGTGACCTTCTTGCCGTCCCTCCACATCTCCGTCACGAGCGTCTGGCCGGGCAGGACGACGCCGGCGAACCGGACCTTGATGTTCTTGATGGGGCCGAACTTCTCGTACACGGCCTTGCCGGCCATGCCGAAGAAGCACAGGCCGTGCAGGATGGGCGCCTTGAAGCCGCCAACCTTGGCGAAGGCGGGGTCGACGTGGAGAGGGCTGAGGGGTGGGGGAAAAAAAGCGTTCCGAGTTAGCGAGTGTCGTCTTCCGTCTATTTATCGATCTGTACTTACTTGTAGTCACCGCTCAGGCGGTACACGCACGCCTGCTCCTCGGTCGTCTTCTCCTCGACAACAACGTCGGGCATGCGCTGGGGCGGCGCGTGGGTGGCCGTGGAGGCGCCCCTGTCTGCGCCCTTCTTGGGCCCGCCGAAGCCGCCGCAGCCGCGAAGGAAGACGGTGGACTCGTTGTAGAAGACCTCCTCGCCCGTCTCGGTGTTGACCGTCGAGACGCCGCTCTTGAGCACGGCGGCGTTGCCCTTATCCACCACCTCGAGCAGGCGGCCGTACGACGTCAGGCGGGCCGAGGTCGGGATTGGGTACTTCTTGACCTCGAGGAACTGCTCGCCGTGCAGCAGCATCATGGGGTTGAAGTTGGGCACCACCTCGTCAAACGTGAAGGGCATCTCGGCGTCGAACTGCGGGATCACACCGAACGTCGGCAGCACCTGGAACTCGTCGGCGCCCTCGCTATTTTGCGAAAATACATTAGCACGTTGCGCCGTGGTTTCCGCCGGCTGGCCGCTGGGATGGCTTGAGGTGACAAGCGCACTCACAAGACATATTTCAGGTCCGTCTTCTTGGCACCGATTCCCAGGTTGTACAGGATCGAGTCACGGTCTGTGTAGCGGAACTCGGTGCCCTTGGGCTCGGCCTTCTTGGCCCGCTCAATGGCCTCGAGGTGCTGGTTGCCGGCCGGGGACGAAGCGCTCTAATTGGCAGATAGATGGGTCTCGAGTCAACAATGGCAAGCTCTCAATTGTCTTCACAACCTCTATCCTAAAAGCGCACTCCAAAAGCAAGACATTGAATCGCCAGGAAAGATGCGAGACACATCATGAACAGAGAACCCAACCCGAGATAGAAGAAATGCGTTCCGCTCATACCTTGTTGCCAGACTTGTTGTCCATGTTCGCCATGATCTTGCCAACACTGTCCTGGGTCTTGACCGGGTGGTCGGCCCTGCCATCGTCGAAGTCGCAAATCTTGGCGAAGCTCTTGGCCACAGCCTCGGGGGTGAGCTTGACGTCAACAGGGAAGCCGACACCGCCGCTGCGCTGCCACCTGGTCTGACCCTGCCAGCCGCTGCCGACCTCGTACAGACCGCCAGTGGGGTCCTTGGGGATCTTGTCGCTGCAGAGCGCCAGGACCAGGGGCGCGATGTACTCGGGCTTGAACGCCTGTACAAGCTCCTCAGGGAGGATCGTCTTGGTCATGGCGGTGCCGGCGTTGGGTGCGATGGTGTTGACGTAGATGTTGTACTTGGCGCCCTCGAGCGCGAGAGCCCTGGAGAAACCAAGGATTGCGCATTTCTATTGGAGACATCACATTGTTAGTTAATTGCTCGCTCATCGAATGTCCGTATTGCTAAACACGGATTTAGCATCTGGTAACTTACAGCCGCAGCGTAGTTGGCCTGTCCAAAGTTACCATAGATACCGCTCGTCGAGGTGGTGTTGACAACCCGGCCGTACTTCTGCTTCAGGAAGTATGGCCAGGCGGCCTTGGTCACCTTGTAGGTGCCACGGACATGGACGTTCATGACAGGGTCCCACAGGCTGTCATCCATGTTGGTGAAGGCCTTGTCCCGCAGGATACCGGCGTTGTTGATGACGATATCGACGCGGCCAAAAGCGTCGATGGCAGCCTTGACGACGGCATCGCCGTCCTCAGCAGACGCCTTGACACCCACGGCCTTGCCACCCATGGCCTTGATCTCGTTGACGACGGTGTCTGGGTTCATCAGGTCGTTGACCACAACAGAGGCGCCGCCCTTGGCAAAGGCCAAGCAGTAGGCGCGGCCGATGCCAGCACCGCCGCCGGTAACAAGGGCAACGCGGCCCTTGAAGTCAACAGGCTCGCCCTTGTCGTTGGGACCCAGCTTGACCGACTCCTCGAGCAGGGTGACGAAGTCGTTGGGGCCCGAGGGGTACTGGGGCTTGGAGAAGTCGGTGACCTTGTTCCAGCCCCTGATAACGGCGCCGGGGGTGTAGCTCTCGTCACACTTGAGCAGCAGGCCGCTCGAGCGCTCCCACCGCAGCTTGGCGGCATGGCCACCGCCAACCTCGAAGATAGAGCCCGTCTCTGACGTGTTGCTCTTGTGGGTCAGGACAGCCACCAGAGGAACGACCCACTCGGGCTTCATCAGCTCCAGCACGTCGGGCGGCATGATGGTCTCGGTCATGCGGCTGGCGGCAACGGGAGCGATGACGTTGGCCAGGATGCCGTACTTGACGCCCTCCTTGGCCAGGGTCTCGGTGAAGCCGACCATGGCAAGCTTGGCGGCCGAGTAGTTGGCCTGGCCAAAGTTGCCGAACAGGCCGGCGGCCGAGGCCGTGTTGATGACGCGGCCGTATTTTTGTTTCCTGAAGTGCGGCCAGGCGGCGCGGGCGCACTTGTACGAGCCCTTGACGTGGACCTTGAAGATCAGATCCCAGTCGGCATCCTTCATGTTCTTGAAGCTGATGTCGCGGAGGATGCCGGCGTTGTTGATCAGGATATCGACGCGGCCGAAGGACTTGATGGCCGTCTCGATAATCTTGTCGCCCTCCTCGACCGAGTTGTAGTTTGCCACAGCCTTGCCGCCCGCGGCCTTGATCTCGTTCACCACAACATCGGCAGCCTGTAAAAAGACACATGCGAACCGGCAGTTAGCATCGAGGGCTCGCGTACCATTCCGCAGCAATACCAGATCATGCACTCACCCTAGTAGAGTTGCCCTCGCCCTTGAACGAGCCGCCAAGGTCGTTGACGACGACGCTAGCTCCCCTGCTTCCGAAGAAGGTCGCGTAGGCCTTGCCCAGACCACCGCCGGCGCCAGTGACGACGACAACCTGGCCGTCAAAGCGCAGCTCTTCGGCCATTGTGAGTGTGTGGTTCCGTTGCGACGGCGACTGAGGGTGTGGTGAGGAGGGAGCAGCGGCTGGGGAAGTATCGTCACAAGGAGGTCGGATAGAAGAGTTTAATTGTTCTCAGGACCCGTCCTCGAATGGCGGTGGGCGGGTTGTGTGGTCTTGTAGGAGTCGCGGGCTTGTCGGGAAATGGGAGGGAGAGGGCGAAGCTTGTGAAAGAATCGAGCGAGGTGTTGTATTTGACAGCTCGACGCTGAAGCGCAGGTGACAGGCACTTGGTTCGGCAAATCGGGGGTGAAGCTGCGTTGAGCCGAGGCTTCCCCAGACCGGACCCAGCCGCTCCAACGACCGCCCCACAGGCCCCAGCGCCGAGCAGAGGCTGGGGCGCTAGTCGAATCTGGGGGGGTGAGGCAGGAAGCCGTCGGCGCAGAGCTGAGAATTCACATGCCAGCTCCGACTGCCCAAGTCAGAGTACTGCTGGCTGGGGCAAAGAGCTGACAGGTCTGGCCGCTTCGCGTTACACAGTAAGAGATGGTGTCTGCGCAGCCGGGCAAGACAAAGGTCACGAGGCCGGCCATCAGCACAGAGAAGACGACCACCAGGATGAAACGTGATGTGGAAAATCAATAACCCGTGTGAAGCTTCCACGTCGATGCAATTTCCCTTTTTGCGTTTCGCTTGCGCTCTTTTAACCCAAACCGTGCTGGCCGGCGCTCGCATACGTCACTCGGGAGGATGCGCCCGATCCTGGGGAGCCGATTGGATCTGAGCCGCAGCCGAGCGTGCGCCCGTCGAATGATGCAAGCAGAGAGGGCGAAACAGCAGAATTGAGCTCGATAGCAACCGCCCACCGCGACGCGCCCCACCCATGCCGTGAGCGCCGGACTGCTGGAACGGCAATTAATGGTAATGGCATTGAGGGCCGTGCGACTCCGTCTCGGGCTTGACACACCTACCTAAACGCCGCGCCGCCGCCGCCGCCGAGGCCCCAGCAGCAGCAGCATTACCAGCAAGTAAAAGGGGGCAATGTCAGCCATAATATCGTCGGTCACGCCCGACGCGCCCCTGCAGTCCCGCATAGTGGACGACAAGTCCCCCATATGCATCCCCTTCATCCTGGACCGCCTCGCAGCCTGGCGCAAGGAGCGGGACGGCGCCGGCGGTAGCCAGGCCAGGCCCTTCATAATCGGCCTAAACGGCGTCCAGGGCGTGGGAAAGACCACGCTGGTCAAGGCCCTAGCCGAGACGCTGCAGCGGCGCGAGATGCTGCGGACCCTGGTCGTCAGCATAGACGACTTTTACCTGACGCACTCGGCCCAGCTCGCCCTGGCCGAGGCGCACCCGGACAACTCGCTAGTGCAGTACAGGGGAGAGCCGGGTACGTAGGGGTGTGCGTGTGCGTGCTATCTGCCCTTTGCCATGCGGGCCTGGGAAGGGTGAGAGAGAAGGGAAATACAGTACACAACCGAGGTCATTTAGCCATCCCGACGGAGTAAATATGTACAAAAAAGATCTCTAACACGCCATTTGAAGGCACGCACGACATTGACCTCCTCTCGACCTTCTTCGCCGCCATCCGCGAGGGCCGCCCGACCAAGGTGCCGGCCTACGACAAGGCCGCCTTCAACGGCCTCGGCGACCGCGTGCCCGAGTCGCAGTGGCAGGCCGTCAACGACCCAGCCTCGGGCGACCCGCCCGTCCAGGTCGTCATCGTCGAGGGCTGGTGCGTCGGCTTCCGCGCTCTGCCAGACGCCGAGGTCGAGGCCCGGTGGCGCGCCGGCGGCGCGCGGACGCTGCACCTGCACCGACTCGAGCACCTGCGGCTCGTCAACGACTGCCTGCGCCGCTACGACGCCGCCCTGACCGACGCGCTCGACGCGTTCGTGCACGTCGACGCCGAGGACCTGGCCCACGTCTACGCCTGGCGCCTCGAGCAGGAGGCGCAACTGCGCCGCGAGAGGGGCGGCGCCGGCATGTCGGACGAGCAGGTCGTCCGCTTCGTCGACGCCTATTACCCGGCCTACGAGCTCTTCTCCGACGGCGTCAGAGCCGGCGTCCTGCTCCCCCGCCGGCCCGGCTTCCAGCTGAGGTTGGTGGTGGATAAGGACAGGCGGGTCAAGGAGTCAATTGTGCTGTGAAGGGGCAGAGAGACGATTGCGGATGGCTCATTTCCTTGTTTCCTGCTAGCTCGACTATTTTCCTGCAATGTGTAAAAGCACATGACGTCCCAGTATACCTCGTCAGCCCAAGAAGCAAGCCGGCTGACATGCTCCCATTAGTGCCAGATAATCCTTGCCACCGAAATCACCCCTGAAGTGCAGCAAGCCCGTGATACCTGCTCCAAGCTATCATGCCGTAAAATGGTGTCCCCAATCATAAAGCTGCAATGCTACCCTCTAGCCTTGGCTTTTGTCCACCTTTATAGCTGGTCATATATCGTCGTTAGGTGAGTAAACAGGGAGGGAAAACAGGAGAAGAGAAGACATAGAGAATAGACATGTGGGAGTTGCCGACTGATTTTCTCGCCGGACTCCCCCAAGAGTTGCCTTGGTCATTCTTTGGTATGGACAACAAAGCAAAATCAAACCCGACCAAGGCGCAGTGCCAGATTCGGCAGGGTATTACAGTTCCACCTCCTTCCCCTTCATCATAACCTCGCCCTCCTGCTTGAGGCTGAAGAGAGTTCGGTCGATGTACTCCATCTTGCCCCTTATCAGCTCCTCGCGCGCCGAGACTTGTTCCTCGAACTGGGCCGTGATTTTGCGCTTGCCGCGGCGGGCCTTCTTGATCTTGCCGACAACCTCGCCGAACCGCTCCAGGAACCAGTCGCCGCACTCATCCCACTCCGCTACCGAGACCTGGCTAAAGAACTGATGCTGCGCGTTCTCGTCCTGGTCCTGGTAGTGCTCCAATCTCTCGGTCAGGCTATCACCCGACGATGGCTGCTTTGCCGGTTGCGCCGTGGTCGTCGCCGGGTCGTGGTCGAAGGGCTCGGATCGCAGCTCCGAGTAGCTCATGCGATGGAGCATGTGGTCGTCATAATCCAAACTCATGCGGCGTTTCTTTGCTGGCGGCTGCGGGGCCAACTTCCCGTGGTTGCTGTTCGCGCGCGTGGTAGGGACGGGCCGGACGCCGTTCACGACCTGGGCAGCCGGCGGGGGCTGTCTGGTCTTGGAGGTGGCCTTGGTGGGGCTAGCGGGCAGCTGTCCGTTCGGGGGACGCGGATTCAGCGTCACAGTTGCCTCCTCGCCTTGGGATGGCGGGTCGCTCATGTTGTCGTCGTCCTCGGGCGCTGTCCTCTGGGCCGGCGGGTCGATGCCGTAGAAGTGCGTAGAGCGCTGGTGGACTAGGCCCCTGGTATCAGAGTCCATTCTAAATCGTCCGATATCCTCGCGGCCCCTATTGTACGGCTCTGGAGAGCCGTTGAAGCGGCGGTCTTGGCGTGAATACACCGAGCCCGCCCTCTTGTCCCTGCTGTCTTGGGTGTCTCGGCTGGCGTCTCTGTTGTGTCTGATGGACAGCTTGCTGTGCTTCAGTGGATGCTCCAGTTTCTTGGGCGTTGTTTCGTGATCCGTGTTGTCAGCGTAAGGGTCCTCGACAGGGTGACCTGTCTCCACGAGGATGCCACTTTGCACGCTGCTATCCAAGGTGGTCACGCTGGGGCCAGGGCCGCGGGTGTGGTCATTGACTTTAAGGAGGCCGCCGTCGCCAAAGACGAAGGGCGGGCGGTCCAGTTCACTTGTTGACGGGTGCTGCACCTTGGCAGGCTCGCTCTTCACAGGCTGCGACCGACGTGGAGGAGCCGGGAGAGCAGAAGTGGGAGGGGGGCGCGGCTCATAGGCCACCACCGCAGGCCTGCGGATATGTCCCGTCACAGAGTGGGCGTCGCTCTCCAGAAGCGAATTTACGGTAGAGTCCTCCCATGCGTCGTGCTGCCCTCGGGCCGCCGCGGTAGCGTTGGCATCGGGTGGGGGTGCATGGATACGGGATCCGTCCGAGTTTGCACGCTGGTGTAGCCCGAAAGAATGGGTGGTAGCAGGCGCCGATACGGGCTGGTTCAATGTGTGTCGAGCCAATTTCGGAATGGGGAGTTTGGCAGACTCGAATGTTGTCTGCCTGGATACTGCGCGCGGAGGCGAAAAGTGCGCTGGTGCCAAGGCGCGCTGCTGATGGGGTTGGTTCCGTTGTGGTTGGACTTGCTGCTGCTGTTGCTGCTGCTGCTGCTGTTGTTGTGTGCGTGGCGGCGTTGGCTGTGGCGGCAGCTGTTTGTGCTGCAGGTGCTGCGACTGCTGTGACTGCTGTTGCTGCCGCTGCCGCATCTGTTGGTTATGCGCCTCCTGCGTCATGTCGTGGCTCACGGCCCGTGGGCTCCCTGGGGCGCTGTTCCCCTTAGGGTCAGGACGTCGGATGTAGTTCAGCATCTTGGTGGCTGGGGAGGGCATCACGACTGGTGGGCGGCGGCGTTTCTCAGGCGTGGTGGCCACGCGGAGCGCCTCTGCTGGCGTCTTGCAAAAGCGTTTGTTTACCCTCACGATTCGCAGTGCGGGCTCGCGGGGTGAAACCAGGGCTCTGGCCGGTAGCGACGGCGATCACCAGTCCAGGGAGTCAGAGGACGACATGTGGATGGTGATGCTTCAGGAGCGGGTCGGCATGTCGTATTTCCTTCTTATGTGTGGAAGGATGGGGGGAGTGCATGCGCAGTTGGGCTCAAACAGGCCGTCTTTGTCCTGCCGCCGACACGGAGAATTGGGTCGAGATGGATGCCTCCCGCTCTGGGGAAGTCGAGCCTGCCTGAGGAGGGGAGGGCAGGCAAGGAGGATACAAACGGGGAGAGGGGGCTGGTCGCCGCCGAAGCACGGGAGCCAAGCCGTCGTGGCTCCCAAGAAGCAATCAGCGATCAGGTTGAGACTCTCAAAATCAGGTGAGCTGCAGCCAGGGGAGGAAGCCGCGGGCAGGGGTTGATTGACGGGCCAAAGATCAGTCAATTGCAGCGAGTTCAGTTGATGGGGCTTGAGCTCGACGCATGCGTCTGGCTGTGCAGCTCAGCGTCGCAAGGGCTGGACGTGTTGACTGGCCAGCGCGCCCACCCATGACAACCAGGCTGCAGGCAGGTGGGGGCCCGCTCTGGCCAGCAACCCAGCCTGGACTGCGCGCCACTCAGAGGCTCCAATTGTCGCCAACTGCCCCCCACCAGCGACGTCGGCTCTTGTATGACAGGCTGCTTCAACTTTGGGCCCAACGCCGCATCCTCCAGCCATTTGTGGGCTACAGCTCCAATCAAGGATGCCCGAGACGTCAACGTTAGGGGTATGGGGGCCGACAGCTGCATGCGCGCCGCATCTGATTGGCAAATTGGCCCCAAAAACAACCCTTTGGATCGCTCGCCAACGGCTGCTGCAGTCCTGCATGCAACCCGACCTGTCCCACCTCCTTGCTCAAGGCCCGGGACTGCCCAGACCTCGCGGCGGGCTCGTGGCCTCTGCTGGGGCCCGGCTGATAACTGGCGGCGCCAGACTGTGGCGCTCCTCCCGTCGGACGGGCTCCTGGCCTCCCGCCTCCAGGCCGGGGGAACAAGGTTCGTTGGGCCGTCATACATTATCGGAAGCCTCCCAGTCGCCAGATCTGCAGACGGCCACTCGTAAGCGCAGGCGTTGCACAGATGCCAGGCGCCAGGACGCCGGCCTCGATTCTGGAAGCAACTCGACTGGCTGGCTCTGGCGCAGTGCAGCCTGGCTCTGGCCATGCTCCTCGGGCTGCCAGGCCGACTGTGCAAGGGGACAAGGCGACAAATGCACTATCGCCCGACGCCCACCGGTTTGCTTTTTTTCCGCTGTGCTTCTTGATGGATAATAGGACGGGGCGAAGGCGCGACCTTGCATAGTCGTTTTATTCGCGCGGGGAAGAGGTGAGGCTTCTTTGCCCAGTCGCCGATCCGACACATTCGCCCGAGCAAAGGATTGTACACCGGTCAATCATATGATGCAAAATCATACGAGAGATACTTCCTTGCTCCCGCTCATCCAGTAGCAAATCGGGGACGTCTTTAGTGTCGATAGAAAATGGTCTCGCCATAGAAGCTTACAGATAGGAAACATGACCTCTTGGGTTCTTTTTCTTTTGCCTGCCCTATGTCGCTTCCGGCCCCCACATTTGTATGGTGGGGTGCCTGCCCGTCCGACGGCCCTCCGATCAGTGCTGGATTTCAAATCATCGATTTCTACCCCCTCCTCGATGGTGCTTTAGCCGTTGAAGAAAACCAGAGGCCGCACCAAGCCCGTAAATTGAAGCGCAGAGACCATAGAGAGCTGGCCAGCAAGCACCCAGCGAGCTCTCGGAGATGTCGCCCACACTCGAAGCACCCGAGCCGGTCCAGGATGTTCTAGCCAACCCACTCAAGGCCAAGCCTCAGCTCGTTGCGCCGGAACCGGAGCACTGCCCGGGGCCCGAGTCCGAGAAGGCCGGGACGGCCGACTCGTGCGCCGGCTGCCCGAACCAGCAGATCTGCGCGTCGGCGCCCAAGGGCCCGGACCCCGACATACCCCTCATCTCGGCCCGGCTCTCGGGCGTGCGGCACAAGATCCTCGTGCTGAGCGGCAAGGGCGGCGTGGGCAAGTCGACCTTCACCAGCCTCCTGGCACGCGCCTTCGCGACGAACCCGGACAGCAGCGTCGGCATCATGGACACGGACATTTGCGGCCCCAGCATCCCCAAGATGATGGGCGCCGAGGCCGAGACGATCCACATCAGCGGCGCGGGCTGGTCGCCCGTCTACGTCATGGACAACCTGGGCGTCATGAGCATACAGTTCATGCTCCCCAACCGCGACGACGCCATCATCTGGCGGGGCCCCAAGAAGAACGGCCTCATCAAGCAGTTCCTCAAGGACGTCGAGTGGGGCGATCTGGACTTCCTCCTCGTCGACACCCCGCCCGGCACCAGCGACGAGCACCTGAGCGTCAATACCTTCCTTCGGGAGAGCGGCATCGACGGCGCCGTCGTCGTCACCACCCCCCAGGAGGTCGCCCTGCTGGACGTCCGGAAGGAGATTGACTTTTGCCGCAAGGCCGGCATCAGGGTGCTGGGCCTTGTCGAAAACATGAGCGGTTTCGTCTGCCCCGGCTGCAAGTACGAGAGCCAGATTTTCCGTGCCACGACCGGCGGCGGCCGGGCCTTAGCCAAGGAGATGGGCATACGTTTTCTCGGGTCTGTTCCGCTGGATCCGCAGATCGGCATGGCTTGCGACTACGGGGAGAGCTTCTTCGACAGTTTCCCGGACAGCCCGACCTGTGCTTCATTGGAGAGGGTTGTGAGGGAGCTTGCCGAGGAGCTCGGACTGGCCCCTGATAGTATCCTCCCTCCCAAAGCATGAAGGGAACAGGGCAAGCGAAAGGCTCGAATGCAGCAGATGGAATATCAACACGCAAGCTCTGTGAAGATCTAAGGAGGCAACAACAACAGGCCCGTTATGCTCGGGCGTTTCTCTGGAGATCCAGACCAGCCAAACCACCGCTTTCCCCGGCCGATAAAGAGCACCCTAGCTCGAGAAAGGCTCGAATCTCCTTTCCAGCGAGACACGCATTCTCTCGCCAGAGCACGAGACTGACATCCCTCATTCCGTGGCGAGCTTCGCCGGAATCTCCTCGAGATCATCGGTAGATTCGATATCAATGATCTTGCCAACCTCGCTCGTGTTCCTCATGAGCTCCTTGGCGCCGGCGTAAAGCATGCGGAGCTCGCTATTGCAAGTGATGGGCAGATAGTACAACATGACATACGGCACCGACAGCCGCCCAGACGGCTAGAGGCACACATCGCGGCGACGTTAGCACAGAGTTGCGCAGCCGGTGGGAATTCTGCGTTCGACACAACAAAGACGTGTGCGAGGGAAGAGAAATCGACCCAGTCTTACAAGGGTGACGGGATAACTCAGCAGGACGAAACGCGGGGAGTGGTCCGGAAGATCATCGCCCAGCTCGTCCAGGCTCTTGTATACAGTCTGGTCGGGGTCTTGGTGGATCTCGTGCGTGCTCTTGTCGATGAGATCTGGTTCAAGGAGCAGTTACAGTTAGATGAGCTGTGCAGGACGTGACCGAAACGAAGCAGGGAAGTTGGAAAGAGGGCACGACACTCGAAGGGATATGCCAGGTCAGACTACCATTGGCCATAATGCCAGCCGGATGTAACGCTAGGAAACACATGTCCGAGGTCTGCACATACATATGACGGCCTGGGGGTCTTTTGCCCTGGACGTCCCCAGTCTGAACTTGCGCAGGTGGTCCTTGCTCTCCTGGGAGAAGGTGTACAGCCTGGATTCGGAACTCTAAGCGGATTCGGGGGGTTAGTAGCTGCGACGTCGATCCATCGAGAGAGGTGTCGTCAGCACCAGGGGGGCCAGGGAGGTGGTACCATGGTGAGGGCGGCCGCTGGATGAAAGATCCTTGGCAAGAACGCGGGGGCGCGATGAGTGCAAGCAAGGCAGTTTATCTAGTCGTTTGACAAAAACAACCTCGGGGGTATTAAGGGGGGCGCGATCTGATGCGGATAGCAGATTCTGGCGTCGAGCTTGGTCGGTCGCGGGCAGTCCGTCCATTCCACGTCGAGGCCAGGGTGCCAGCTTACCCCGCGGCCGCCTCGTGCCCCACTCAATGACAACATCCGTCTGGCTGGTGCAGTTGGAAGCTTGACGCAGCCGCCCGAGAGCTCCGAGTGCGGGCTCCATCCATCGACGTACGTCCATTGCTGGGCCAGCTTTCCGCCAACGCCATATCCCGCTTCAGATCCAAATAACAGGCAAGGTATCTGGATAATCGACTCTTCGGTAGGTCTGCCAGCCAGCCATCGGACCCCTCCCCTCCCACACTCGAAACGCAGGAACGGACCAGATACTTCATCTTACTTGGGCCGGCTTGAACCCGGTATGCCAAACGGCGGCTTGGTCATATGCTGACTTTCCGGCCTTGGGGGAGAATATCCCCCAACGCTGCCGACTTCAGGCGTCACCCAATCACCGGCGACTCTGTAGCGGTTTTGCCCTGCCGTGTTAATGTACGCCCGCCTGTCACAGGCAGCAAAGCATCTTTCTGGACCCCGACCCGGCACCGCACCCTGGGCCCTCGGCTTCGCCAGGAGGGGCGCCATGGCATCCGCCGACGAGCGCAACTTGCGCACCATCCACACGGCGGCGTGCCTTATTATCGGAGACGAGGTACTTAACGGCAAGGTACGTACGATCTTCATGTTGGGCCACACAAGAAACCTTGCGCTAACTGCTACCAACATCAAGATTGTTGATGTAAGCTCGCCAAGACGGCCATCAAATCTATCGAGCCTCCCAGGAGCTCACCTCCGCTGATACCACAAACCCTGTAGACCAATTCGGCCTATGTAGCCAAATGGTGTTTCCAGCTGGGCATCGACCTGAAGCGGATTGAGGTGATTGAGGATGATGAGTCGGAAATCATGGAGGCCGTCCGCCGCATGAGCGACCGATATGATTTTGTTGTCACCAGGTGAGCCTCAGCTTATGACAACTGCAATTTCGAGAATATGGAACTAATCGGGTTCAATAACAAAGCGGCGGCATTGGCCCAACGTAAGTAGCAAACAATGCGTTGGGGGCTGAAGGAAGACGTGACCTCGGCCGGATGCAATGCCCCTCTGCCCGTCTTTACCTACCTTTCTGACGCTGTCCGAGGGCCTCGGCAGACACGACGACATCACGTACCAGTCGATAGCCAAGGCCTTTGAGTTGCCGCTCGTCCTGCACCAAGGGGCCTACGAGCGCATGAAGCGGCTCGCGCGGCCGCACCCCTCGCAGCCCGACTTCAACTGGGACGTGGAGTCTCCGGCCAAGACGGCCAAGCTGAGGATGGTGGAGGTGCCGACGGACGAGACCCGCGACATGGACAAGCAGTTCCTCTTCCTCCAGGAGGACCTCTGGGTCCCCGTCTGCGTCGTGAATGGCAACATCCACATCCTGCCCGGCGTTCCCAAGTTGTGTAAGAATTTGAAGCCCTGCCCCTTTGGGAAGTTTGCTCCACCCATCGGCTTTGGGAACTCGGCATACGCCATTTTTCGGGGGTGTTTTTACTAAGCTCTTCTCTCCGACTGGGCAGTCACACGTCTTATAGATGGACTCAAGCCGGTCATCATGCCGCGGCTGGTGGACCCCGAAGCCAAGGGCATCTGCCGGATCATGATCTCGACGCCCATGGCCGAGAGCGCCGTGGCCCCTTACCTCACCGAGCTGGCGGCCCGCGTCGAGCCGAGGGGCGTCAAGGTCGGGAGCTACCCGAGGTGGGAAAAGAAGCGGAACACGGTCACGCTCGTTGGCAAGTGAGTCATGATACCTGCACATATCTCTCCTACGCAGTGCAAGAGAAAAAAAAAGATCTCTGCTCACGCTTTTTTTTTTTTTTTTTTGGGACAATGACGACAGAGACAAGGACTTCATCGAGACCCTGGTCCCGGAAGTTGTCGAGAACGTCAAGGGCAAGGTCGTCACTGTGGAGGGAGAGGACGACGACCCGGACGACAAGGATGAGCCCTTTTCTCAGTAAGGACGCAAGAACAGATGAGGGAGGGATGGAGGGAATAAGGTGGGGATGGCAGGCATTGCCTCGGTAACAGATTCTGAGAGCCCGAGTTGACCGATATTTCGCGTCAGTCTTCTCTTTTGACATCAAGAGTCATGTATGTACATGTGTTGAAGAGGGAAGCACCAGCCTGACCATGTCCTCGTGCACGGTGCATAGGTGGATACTACCTCGATGGAGCCCGCGATGGCCGCACGCACGAGGCGTGCGGGAATGCAGTGGGGATCCCTTTTTGCCTGCAGAGCGATCGTCCATCTCGCGTTTTCTCTCTTTTGGGATGGGCGGCGGATGAATGACACGAGCGGTGACGAGCCCTTGCTTCTCTTCGACAACGAACCGCAGCGGGCTTTTCTTCTCACCCAACCACACAAGAAACGCCCCACCAGGTAGTCGCGAGGCACGCAGCGCGATTGACAGCCCAACAGGACCTAGACAAGGGCAGAGCTGCAATCAAGATCAACGAGCTTGATGGGACCCCACCCCTCGATAGCCCCCAAAAGCCAAGCCTGGGCGTCAAATTTTCTAGAAGGCCTGGCGGAACGCCATGCCCCAGGGGCAAGGGCAAGAAAAGGAGATTGATCTCACCAGGCGGGCGGGCCGTCACTCTTCGATCCTTATCGTTTTACCCACGAGGCTTGGGCGGGAGAATCTTCATTCTCGCTGCGTGCTGCCCGCGCTGAACGATGAGACTTTGGCAAGGAAAAAAAGGAAAAGAAACAAAAAGCAGACAGCATCAAATTACCAAACTAGTGCTGTGATGATATTGAGTCTGCAGTTCGTCAAAGTCGCCGTCTTTATCATCTCCGCGCACTTGTGCCACAGTATCACCAGGATCCACCGAGATCGACCGATACAAGTCCCCCCCCCCTTCATCCTCTCCTTCCCTTTCCTACCACTTTTCTGTTCGTTATCTCGAGCTTTTCCGACTGCAGCCCAGGGTGTGGGTGGGTTCCGGCCTTGGCAACGCAGACGTGGGATGGAAAGCAACGGCCATGCGCCTTTGTCCGACAAAAAGGTTCGCTGCCGGAATGGCTAGGTCGCACCAAGGCGACGTCCTACGACTTCCACCGCGCGATCGAGCCGGGCTTTCGGCTGGCGGTGCGCTAATGACAATATTAAAATGGTCTGAGAGGGCCCGGCAGCCCCGTTATCTCCCACGCCTCGGAGCACATGTGCCGGAACATGGGCATCGCATGCCCGCTGCCGCTAATATCGATAGCCAGCTGATCCCAACTCGTCCTAGCCTAGTGGGGGACGGCGGCATGGTTACATGACAGCCAGCCCGTTCAAACCGGCGCCCCATATCTTGCTGTTGCTGTCCAAAGCGGTGCGCTCCCCGCAAAAATGTCGGGCTTTGCAGTGGGTTTCGGGGGTTTTTGAGTGGAGAATGCCATTTCGCTGAAGGAAAAGATTCCACGGTTTAATCCCCTTTTGAAATTTCGGTGTGGGGAAGTGGAAGCCAAGTCTTGAAGCAAAATCTAACCCCAAATGTGCTAGATGGCTGGGAGAAAGGAAGGACCAGGGGGAAACGTCAGGAGGATGGGAGCGGCCTGTGCTGGCACTGGCAAGCACAACGCCACTCGAATCGAATCTCGTTTCAAAGAAAGTGATGCAGTCAAGACTCCTCGCTCAGAAATGGCACCTTGAACTGGCCAGGGACCGTTTTGGCCAGGTTTGCACCCGGCTTTGATGAAGCAAAATGTTGACGAAGCTGGAGAGGGCTGGATGAATACCACACAGATGGCTGACTAAACACCAGACCCTGTCGCTATAACGAAAAGTGGCGGGTGTTAAACAAAACGATGAGGGAGGGTCAAGAAAAAAAAAAGCAACGGATAAAAGCAAACATGGAGCTCTGGCCCCTTTGCCCCCCAGCATGATACCGGTAGGAATCTGACAAAGCAAGGCAGAACGTCTGTTCATCAATCGCGTGTGGCTGACAGGAGGACCGCCATGTCGATATCACGATCCTAGCCGCTGGCCACAAGAGTTCGGGGGCGCCTCCTGTTGGCCGGAATCGCTTGGTAATACCACAGACCAGGTCAGACAGGGGCCGAAGTGGTGTCTAGGCTGCCGGCGCCAATCCTCGTTTCCGCCAGAGAAAGACGGCGGCGAGCGCCAGGGAAAGCTCGGTCCTACTAGCTCGTCCACTCGATGTTTGCTTCTTATTTCTGTCGCCGCATGAGCGAAGCGAAACGTTTAGGTCTGAGCTAAGCTGGATAGGGCGGGAAAGAGTTGATGTGACGGCGGGCGAGACAGAGCAGGAGAGCAGAAGGTCAGAGGTCAGAGGTCGACAGCCAAACGCCGTGCTTCTCGCCCCGACGCACAGCGAGCGACCCATCTGGGCGAACTACAGCGGTACCTGCATTGGGTGCGCGATGTGGAGGCGGTGGGACGCGAATGGATGATCAGGTCGTGGACTGGTCACAACAGCTCGTTTCCTCGCTTCTTACAGGTGGCAGGTGCAACCCGAGCCGCCGATCGGATGCACCCTCGGTCAGGTTGCAAGCCAGCCGAGGTCTTTTTTCTGTTGCGAGCACAAAGAGATAAAAAAACAAAAAAAAACAACAGGCAAGACAAACTCCGGGCTCGGGATCGCGCAGTCGGAGGGGCCTGATAATTCGTGCTGGCTGGCCGCACGTGTGATACAAGAGCCCTTGCAAGCCAGGGCACCACCACCGCCGAACCCGTATGCGCGGGATGGACATGCTTGGGACTTCGTACCGCTGACATGCAGTAGCATACGATGGTCTTTGGGGGAGAGACCCGACCGCGTGCGTTGGTGTGGGATGTACGGACATGCAGCTTGACGACAACCGGCTACTCTCCCAATGCGGCTTGTTGGTGCGCGATAACTCACGGAAGTGAATCGCAGGATGGGGAGAGAGGCCCGAGTTGGTGGGCCTGTGCAGGGGACAGGCGACCAGCCCAGAGGAAAAAAAGCAAGCACGAAAGGGAGGTCCGACGAGCCAATAAGGAGACCTGATCTGGCCCTCTTGCCCCTCTTTCCGCGGCGTCCATCTCAGTGTGGGATGGCAGGCAGGCACATTGTGTGATGTCCAGAATGGATGCTGGGATTGGGTTTTCATCGCGGCTTTCGATTGGGGAGGCGCGGCCGGATGTTTGGAGGGTTGGCTCCTGCCCCAAGAGGCAGATCACGCATCCGCAACCTGGTAGTAGACGGTTCTAAAACCTGCCCGGCCCGATTCTATTGCTGCTGATGCCGCCCTTGTCAACTGCCGCAACGCGGAGGGAGAGAGAAAGCGAGCAGAGCCAGCCGGTGGCCCGCCCACACCCTTTGCATGCAACTTATGCGCTGCATTTTTGGCTGCATGCTGCTAGCAGGATGTGTCTGTGCTTGCTGCTGCCGCTGGGGTCATCCATGTGTTCTGCTTTTGGTAGGGTACATAGGTACCTTGTAGGTAGCATCTGTGCCTGTGTGTCTCTGCCTCTGACCTCTGGTGCTGCCTCCCCTTTTTCTGGGCTGGGGCGACGGGGAACTTGTTTTTCGAGGTTCCCGGCAGCACGTGCCCAAGGATCCAAGGCAACCCTTCTGCTACCTGACCCCGCCAGCCTGGGTTGCGTGACTGCTGCATCCATGGAGAGCCGTCTGCTCTAGGAGCCCAGGCTGGGCTGGGGTGTGCTGAGCCTGCTGAGCCGTTAGAGCTGGATGCGGCTGCTGCCCGTGTTTGTCGTGGATGATGACAAATGGCCGCAAGCAGGCCGTGGCTGAGTCCTTTGTGCCTCTCCCCTATTTTCAGGTGTACCTCGTCTAACTGGTCCTAGTATTGCCGGGCAGGGAGTGGAGGAACCAGCGCCGCAAGGTGCAGACAGGTGGGTTCAGTTCAATTGGTATTGAATCGCCTTGGCCCTGTACCTCGTGGTACTTGGACCTTCCAGAGTCCTGGGCGTCGGCGTGCTGGGCTGTTTTGTTCCATTTGATTTTATTCCCCATGATTATTGCTCCTAATCCAATTATTATCCTTCGCGGGCCACCGGTTCCTAATTGGTCGCTCATCCGTTGCCCACTCACTGCCTTGCAAACAAGCAGGCTCACGGACTTGGACATCTCGATTCCTTGTGGTCCTGCTCAAGCGTTCCTGTGCGCCCGGTCTGTCTGTCCATCTGTCGGTTCCCACTGCCCGTCTGCCTGTCATTGCCGCTCCTCTCCCGCTCTCGTCGTGTGCCCGCTCCAGCATTCCTCTTCGCGCCCCGTCGAGTTTAGTTAGCCTTCAGGGATTCCGCAAATCAGTTGCTCCGCTGATTTGACCAACTGGACCCATCGGGCGAGCGCCGGGGCCCAGACAAGCCAGAAACTCGCCGCGGCACACCCCCTGCGCGTCCACCTCTGCCCCCTGTCCTGCCGGGCACCTACACCTACCTTTTTAGGGAGAAGGAGCCAGACGTCTTTTCTTTTGCACCAGGAAGCTGCGGCTGCTGTTTTGACCCTCTTCCCACTCCTTTTCCCGCCTGCAGCCCATCCTTGAGATCGGCTTGCTTGATCTTCAACCCCATCGGCCTCAATCAACAAACCTCTGCCTGTTCTTTCACACCCTTCCCCGACCTCGCGCCCCGACTGCAAAGGCAAGCCGACAGAACAGCTTCCCTTTCTCGATCGTCGACGCCCTCGTACGCACTTGGATCATCGCGCCGCGTCTTCAGCGTAGCGCCGCCGGCGAGTCAACTCGATCATCATGGCCCAGTCAAAGGTACGCTCCTCAACTCGGCGTTCCCGATGCACCTCCGAACGCCCTGCAATTGGGATCGCGCCGCAATTCTCGCCACTAAACGGCGCTTTCCTTGGCCCCTTTTCGACAGTTTTGCCATCGTCTCTTGGACCTCCCAGCTAACCAAAGCCATCATTTTTTCGCGAGCAACAGTTTCTTCGAGAGTACAAGCTGGTAGTGGTTGGAGGAGGTGGTGTCGGTAAATCGTGCTTGACGATCCAGCTTATCCAGAGCCACTTCGTCGACGAGTATGATCCGACCATAGAAGGTCAGTCACCGATGCCGCCACCGGCACTTGTCCGAATCCGCGACACGGCAGACGGCCGTTTGCTCCAAACCGCCTGAAACTGACCCTTGGATGCTTTGTCGTCTGTGCAGATTCGTACCGCAAGCAGTGCGTCATCGACGATGAGGTCGCGCTGCTAGACGTACTCGACACGGCGGGCCAGGAGGAGTACTCGGCGATGCGCGAACAATACATGAGGACGGGCGAGGGTTTCCTACTCGTTTACTCCATCACCTCGCGCCAGAGCTTTGACGAGATCACAACATTCCAGCAACAGATCCTGAGAGTCAAGGACAAGGATTACTTCCCCATGGTTGTTGTCGGCAACAAGTGCGATCTCGAGGCCGAGCGGGAGGTTACGAGACAAGGTATGTTGTGCCTCTTTGCTTACTCAATACACACCAAAGTGTGCGTCTAGAGGCTGACCGGCATTGTTCTACCCTGATTTCTAGAGGGTGAGGCACTGGCAAGGTCTTTCAACTGCAAGTTCATCGAGACGTCGGCCAAGTCTCGCATCAACGTGGATAAGGCGTTTTACGACATTGTTCGTGAGATCCGCAGGTACAACCGCGAGATGCAAGGCTACTCGACCGGCAGCGGAACATCGAACGCGGGTGGCCCCATCAACAAGATGGAAGTCAACGACAACGACGCCGAGGCAGGGTGCTGCGCCAAGTGTGTGCTGATGTAGAGAAAGGTGCAAAGAACAAAAGCAACGCCCATTTTCCGAGCTCGACGACCGACGACGAGGATGAGGAAAGAAGCGACACACCAAAAGGGGTGAGGCCCGTGGCACAATGATTGAGGCGCATCCTTGGGATGCAGCCGCCACCCGAGCCTGAGTGTCGAGGATGGACCTTTTCTTCCCTTTTGAATGCGGACCTGCCCTGTCTCCGGAAAAGCGGCAGTACGGCGGTCCCTTTCCCTCAGTTCATCGCTGAGGATACATTACAACACAACCCGTTTGGTTCAAACAAGGGAACAGGAAGTTGCATGGATTCTGGAGTCGAGGTTGTTTTTTTTCTCGCTTTTTTTCTCCCTCTATTACTCTTTTAAACCCATCCCCTTGTCACCAACGCATTAGCGACTCGGCCGCACCCGGTTATTGGCCCGCCGCCGCTTGTTGAATCGGCTCCAGGTGACCAGAAGGCTCTCGTCTTTTCACTTTCATCTTCCTCTATTCCCATCCATGGCGGTGTGCCCCATGGCCTTGAGCTATGCCGTCGCACCCCCAGGCGGTGCTTCTCCCAGTTACATCTTGTTCCTCTAGTACTTAGTTTTGACTGCTGTTTGAATGGGTTCGTGTTTTGCTTGTGGACTTGAACTTTCGTCCTTCCCATACCCCGTCGTGGCGTTTCTGCCTGTCTCTTGCCGTGTTTTCATTTGTGTTGTTTGTTTTTGGCTTCAGAGTCGTAGTATAGTTCTCGGAAGCTGTAGCACATTGTATTGAATTCTTAACATGTCCATCGTAGTCCTTCCTTGCCCGAGTCCTCAGGCTCCTCTTCTCTTCGAGGTCACGTGCGTGCATCAGATCAGTTCGATGTTGTTTCCGCCAAGACCATTGTACGAATGCGGAAACGAGGGACAGTGGTTATTGAGACACAACACAAGTCCGAGAAGGCTTTGGAATGGAATTCTTTCACCACGACAGCCGAAGACTGACGGCCATTGTTCGGACTGTAACTGAGCCACATCGGCCTGAAGGGTATTTCTCACAACTATCCGTTTTCAACTTTGCTGTCCACCGCTTAACACCCAACAAAGACAGATCACGATGGGCATCAGGGAGAGCGTCTGAGCTGGCCGGAATGGTCATGGCGTGACGACGGATGCGGACATGGCGATGAAGGCTCTGTACTATGAGGTGCCAGAACAAAGGACATCTCTGTCAGCGCACCATGCCCGCCTTGAACTTATACCGCTGCCTCTGGCTCGTGGTCCCCCCCTCCATTCCCGTCATGTTCTTCTCCCAAGATCAACGCTTTCTCTGGTTGATATATTGCCTCTGCCCAAATCTGCAAGGGCTGGAGAGCATCGGTCCGGCCACGCCACACGGCACGAGGACCGACGTTGAGTAACATCACTCCCGCGCCCTCCGCACAAACCTCTCCCCTATATAACCAAACCGAACTCTCGTTCTCTCATCGCACCCACCGCGCACGCCCGTCGACAAACCATGGCGGACCGTCCGAGGTGCGAGCGGTGCACGGTGCGCAACCTCGACTGCACCGGGGGCAACCACGTCTTTGGGGTTCCGTGCCTTCCGTGCCATGGCCGGGCCGTTCGCTGCTCCTTCAGCGCAGAGTACGCCCGTCGACAAGCCATGGCGGACCGTCCAAGGTGCGAGCGGTGCACGGTGCGCAACCTCGACTGCACCGGAGGCAACCCGGCCTTCGGGGTTCGGTGCCTTCCGTGCAGCAATGGCGGGTTCGCTCGCTGCACCTTCAGCGCGGCCCTGCCCCCGCCCCTAGCCCTGCCCCCAGGCCCGGGCCCGGGCCCGGTCGGCAGGAAGCGAGGCTTCGCCGCGGCGGTGGGGGGTGACGACGACAACCACGATGAAGGCGCACCCCTCGCTGGCGGCGCCAGGGGGAAGCGGCGCCGGGTCTTGGAGGCCCCCGCTTCCGCCGCCGGTGCCCGCCCTGCCAGAGCCCCTCCAGCCGCAGCCCCTGTTATTGCCGGCGCGGCCGGTGGTGGAGCAATGGCGGCGGCGGCTCCTGCGGCGGCTCCGGCTCCCCTGGCGGGCGGGCGCAGGAGCCGCCGGGTCTTGGGGACCCCCGTTTACGCCTCCGTTGCTCGCCCTGCCGTGGCCCCCCGTTTGAACGTGGCCGCCGCGGCCCCTAACATAGCCCCTTTAGTCCCCGCTGCGCCTGCCAGGGCTGGTCCAGTCGCTGGAGTCGCAGCCCCTGTTATAGCCGGTGCGGCCGGTGGCGTGGTGGCGGCGGCGGCTCCTGCAGCGGCTCCGGCCGCCGGCCCGGCCCCTAACATGGCCCCTTTAGCCCCCGCTGCG